CCAACATGTTTCTGCCTGCAATGTAGCACACAAGAATATTTCCCACCTAAAATTCAATGCATCTTACAACCTAAAATTATTTTGGCACCAATCACAGAAAATTGCACATATGTCTCTCCCTTCCTTTTTATGTTGTATGTAATAAGTTGCAGATTTATCATCTCACTCTTCCTAGTTATAGAGGGGAAAAGGGGGAAGAAGGAAAGAAATAATTTGAGTCTGTTCAACCTACATTTGCATAGCCTACATCTTCCTCTCCTTTACAACTTACATCAGTCTAGCTACAGATAGCCCTTGATTTTATGATCTCAATTGAGCCCAAAACTTCGGTTGCTAAGTGAGATATTTGTTAAGTGAAATTTGCCCGATTTTATGACCTTTCATGTCACAGTTGTTACCTGAATCACTGTGGTTAAGTTAGTAACATGGTTGTTAAGTGATATGGCTTTCCCCATTGACTTAGCTTGTCAGAAGGTTGCAAAAGGTGATCCCATAACACAAGAACACCGCATAAATATGAATGAGTTGCCAAGCATCTGAATTTTGATCACATGACCATGGGGGGGAGGTTCTGCAATGGTTGTAAATGTGAAAAACAGTCATAAACTCTATTTTATTATTTGCATTAAAACAGTAACCATTGAGGGGGTTTCTTCCTCTCATCTCCTCAAGGTTATTTTCCCCTTCCATTGTTGAGGTCTCAATTCTGATTTTCTTGCAGGTTTCACATTGCTTGGTGAGAACTACTTTTATCTCATCTAATGATCTACCCTATTTCTTCCTTTTATTTTTAAAAAGCTGTAGCCTCTTTTCATCTATTTAATACTTTCAACCTTAGGCACCTAAATTCTTTCACCTAAATTCTTTCTTTGCTTCTCATTGTAAATTCTGATTACTTTGCATTCACCTTTCCAGCTTATTGAAAACCCTTAGATTATAATTAGATTTTGCATTTATCTCTTTTAAAATTTCTCTTGCCGGTTTTACCCAATGTATTTGACAGTTAGAACAATTAATCAATGGAACGACTTGCCTTCAGAAGTTGTGGATGCACCATCACTGGAGATTTTTAATAAAAAATTTGTCTGAAATGGTATATGGTTTCCTGCTTGAGCAGAGGCTTGGGCTAGAAAATCTCCAAGGCACCTTCCAACACTTTATTCTGTTATTCTAGCTTGACAAAATTCACCTAAATCTTGAATGATCCCTAAAGTAGATGCTATCCTTCTAGATTAGTGATAGCTGGGAATTTTATAATTATATTTTCAAATTCCTCATGCTGAAACATGAACAGCACAAGTGGTCATAAAACCCTGTTAGCAGATCACTCAACACTTTTCTCTGGCTTGATGTGAAGTCTTTGATATATACAGTACCAATTGGATAAGATAGTTTGAACAGTTATAACAGTAGGATAGACCAGTCTGCTTTTGTTATCTTCTTTACCAGGATCTCATGGAGACTTTATGGAAATTAAGGTATGGCCACTAGATTCATATGGTCAATAAAACAAGCCATTCTATTAACAGGGAGATCAGATGGTTTTTAACATGATTTATTCCTGGTAAACTATACTAAGTTATTATCTGTTCAGTCTTTTCTAAGACCATAAGCCAACATTTTTGCTTTATTACAGAAAAATACCCTTCTCTGAGTCTTTCACTATGTATAATTGCTAAGGTCAACATCTGAAAATTTTGCTAAGGAATATTAGCCACCCAAATGGGGGAAAAGGAAGCAACAAGAAAGGCAATCTTTCCCAGTTCTTGGCAGATTCCCCCCCCCCATTCAGAACTAGGACTGAGATTCTAAGGAACCTGAGAATGTGCAGCATTAATATTTCTGCTAGAATGAAAAGACCATTGGGAGGAATTAAGTATAGAACAATCTGAAAGGGCTATTTTTTAAAATTAAATTTATATGTCACCCATCTCATTCTGAAAAGCAATTCTGAGTGGTTATAGTATGAAGCACCATCCTATTTTGTGCAATATCTCCAGGAGCCTAATCATAATATAGTCCAGAATAGAATCAATATAATTTTTTCTTTGAAAAATGTAACGAGTAATGAAATACTGCACGTCCATAGAGTGACCAAAAATTAATTTGCTGACACATAGTGAATGCCCTTATTATCTTGACTTTTAACAAACAAACAAACAAAAGTCCTGCTTGTCTCTGCATCAATAAAACTTATTGACAGCTATATAATTTTATGGTGCATAAAAGCTTCTTTCACTATGTATAATTGCTAAGTGTTTCACATAGTGATTATTAATAGCAAGAAAATTGTCAGAAGTGGCCTTTTATCACTTCATCCGTGAATGCTGATGTCATAACAAATACATTTCCCTTAAAGTGCCAGGCTGCTCATTGCAATTTTTGCTTTGGCTACAACATAGTGACCTGCATTTGCAGCTGCTAAGTGCATATGAACAGTAATCATCGTCTATCCTAAATAACTATCCTAAATGTTCATTAACATTTTGGGGACCAATTTTGAAATGGAAACAAAAGCTATCCCATGGACTGCAGATTTATTTTGGAATTACAAGAAGTTCCAGTTCCACCCTGAGCCATGAAATTGGGTGATTTTTTTTAAGATCAATTATTTTATCCTGTCTTGTGGGGGGGAAAACTGGAGAAGGGAATGTTAGATACATGGAGCTCGTGAATGAAATGTTGGGTATGCATCTAACAAGTGAAATAAATAATAAATAAATCATGCTAACAAAAGACTGCTTTTAGGGAAAATATGGAGATGCATGTATCAAGGATTATAACCGACAAAAGTATCTTGAAGAAGATACGCTTACCAATTTGTATCTATGAGGAAATTACATAGACATTAACATTTATTGATTTATATGTTTTTGTTTGAAAACATATAAATTTGTTTCTTTGTGTGAGATGATGTGGAAACAAGAATTTAGCCTGTCTTCATGTTTAAATACAATATCTTCAGTATGAGGGGTCCTTGGTGCTCTCTGAGCTTGTTGGTTTTGTTGCAGATGTTTCATTACCCAAACTTCCACTTATGACTGTATGACTGTAACTTTGTTGCTTGTATCCTTGCAATTTATATTGATATTGTTTCCTGATTGCTTATTTGTACCCTATGACTATCATTAACTGTTGTACCTTATGATTCTTGATGAGCGTACCTTTTCTTTTATGTACACTGAGAGCATAAAGTGTATACCAAGAAAAATTCCTTGTGTGTCCAATCACACTTGGCCAATAAAAAAATATTCTCTTCTCTTCTCTTCTCTTCTCTTCTCTTCTCTTCTCTTCTCTTCATTACCCAAACTAGGTAACATCACCTGGGCTAGGACTAATGATGTTACCTAGACTGTGTCTGCAATCAAGCTCAGAGAGCACCCTTCATTTCAACCCTGAGCTACAAATATTCTCCTTTATTGGATCTTCAGTATATTTACATGTGCCTGGCAGGTCCATCAGTACACATGTGGGTTAAAATGGTGCTTGACTATATAAGATACCACCCAAATGCTTTTCAGTGGGGAATAAGTATTCATTTTATTCTATTTCAAATTTTAATAAATTTAATAAATGCGTTATTTAGCAATAACACGTTCATCATTTGTACATAATCCTGTTTCAAATTCAGTCCTATAATATTCAAAACCAAAATTTATTTTGTCTACTTTAAATATTTCTAATAATTTTACAAAAGAAAACCATGGACAAATATGGACAATGTTTAAAATCAATCCATTGAAGACTTGGGTATGTACCGTCAACCCATCATATTTTAATCCTTATATATAGTGCAAGAAACTATAACTGAATACAATACTGTAATAAAATAAATAAAATTTTGTTGGCAAATCACTAATAAAATTGGTTTTTTTTTTAAATAAAAACTGAGTATTTGATGAAGCTGCATAAATTCATGAAGATAGTGTGCAGTTAGTAGACAGTGATCAAGTCTTGTCCAAAAAATCAAGTCTTATTCAGCTTGGAAAAGCATATTGCAAAATCAGTAAAACAGTTTTTTTAAAAAAGATTGTGCACATCTGAAATGTTAAGATAACATTTAAAAATATTCACATTTGAAAACTCAGTAGAAGTAATAAACTATAATGTCACAAAATGAAATAGGCTATTGTTCAAGAGTATTGCTGCATTATCTGATATGCACATGTCTAGAAGCACAAATCTTCCAGTTTCACTGATTACTTTGATACTATTTTATTCAATGTTTTTAATACAGTTTTATTTCCTTTAGGATTCATCAACTTTAGGCTTCAAACATTTGCAATCTGCAATATAATTTTCACTTCAGCTTTATATGACAGTGTTTTTCGTATAAGTTCTGAACTTCAAAAGGTTGTAATAATACTTTTTTCTTGTCAAATTATTTGCAGCTGGATTAAGCTGTGCTGAACAATAGACTTAATGGTAATTGCAAGTTTATGTTAAGTTAGTTTTGGTGCTTGAGTTAAATTATGTTATGTTGTTATTGTGACACACGGACAACTTGTTTGGGGAAACAGCTGCTGCAGAAAAATTTAGATTTGGTTGTGACGTTGTAACCTCGTTTCATGATGGAATGTATGGAAAAAGGCTGTACTGTACATCTGAGTGCTTATAAGTATACATTCATTTATTTTAGTTTTACCACATTATTAAACTATCCACACCCAGTGGATTTACAAAAGAGCATTTTTTTTTCACTGCACCTGTTTAAATCGTTTGGTTTAATTAAGTAAGACTATACTGGAGTCCAATTTCTTTCCAAAAAGTATTTGTTGCCTGTGAAATAGGCTTCTATTTTTCCTCATTCATTCCAAACATGTTTTAGTTTACCTTCAAAACAAAAGAAAATGTTGCATTGTTGTCTTTGTGCATGTACAATAATAGTGTTGCAACAGGACAGAAGAATCTGCAAAGAAAACACTTCTCCTAGCTACAATGATGAGTAAAAAATCCAGTAACATTAACACTTCCCTGCATATACCCAAGGAAATGGACCATGTGATTATGACACACATTTATTTCACTCTCCGGCCTTTCTCCTTTCCAGTTGTCTAGGTCTTTTCTGTTCATACGTCCTGATCTGGGAGGGCAGGGGCAAGCATGAGAAGTCAGGAGAACAACAGAATTTCAAAAAGTTAACTGGGCAGAAAAATAATAAAACATGTTCTTAAGGACTTCATAGATGCAACAACACTCTATTTGAAACATACAGGTAGATCTCAACTATGAAAATGTGTCTAGTGACTGTTCAAAGTTGTAACAGCACTGACTGAATTGTGGTTGTGATCGGTCCTCAGAGGGCTGGCTGCCCCAGCATCCCTCAGGAGATTGCAATGTAGATTCTTGGCAATAGATTCACGTTTAACACCAAGTTGCTGTGCCCTGTGATCATGTGATTGCAATCTTCCCTGAAAGCTTCCCTAGAAAGACAATAGAGAAGCTAGCAGGGAAGGTTGCAAGGTGCTGGAGTAAGTCTCCTCTCCACCCATGCACCTTTCCCCAGCTTTTCTGCTTTCGGGGCACAGTGGTTAGAATGTAGTACTGCAGGCTACTTCTGCTGATCACCGGCTGCCAGCAGTTTGACAGTTCGGGTCTCATCGGCTCAAGGTTGACTCAGCCTTCCATCCTTCTGAGGTTGGTAAAATGAGGACCCAGATTGTTGGGGGGCAATATGCTGACTCTGTAAAACCACTTAGAGAGGGCTGTAAAGCACTGTGTATATAAGTCTAAGTGCTATTGCTCATGCTGTGCTGACCATTCATGCACCCCTGCACAACCCTCCCAATCTTTGCCACATCTCTTGCACACCCTCCCTGACCCTTGTGGCACCTCTTGCACAATCCCTTCTTCTCTCATGTATCCTTTCCAAACTTTCCTCTGTATACTTCCTCAGTGTCTCTCCCACCTGGCTGCAGCCACTTACCTGCCTGCTAGCCTTGGACTAGCAACTTCCTACATCTTCCCTGTTGACTTATTTATCAGCAGGATGTTACTGTTGAAAGAAAAATCAGGCCTGGTTCTAATCCGGGAAAAAGACACTGAAAATGAAATGGAGGCAGGCTGCAGGAAAGGAAGTTGATTCTTGAGTGGCTGACAAAATGGGAGGTTGAAAGTAGGTGGGCTTTTATACATTCTTTGGGGCTTTGTGATTGAGATGCCTGTCCCTTGTGAAATGTGCTTTGACCTGTGCTTGAGTGTGCCCTTTTTGGTATTCTAATTATTGTTGCCTGGACTCCCATTGTGATTGTGAGGTCATGCCCTGTCCTTGGAGCTGGGTGGGGAATGTAGATTGTAGGAGTCTTTGTTTTCCTGCTTTTAATGCCATCAGCTTCAGCCTTCTGTGGGAGCTGTAGCTGAAGGCATTTTGTTTATGAATGGAACTGTCCGGCTTTCTGTAAATGGATACTGAATGGAATGCTCCACTTTTCTCAATAGATACAAAAATATCTCATTCATAAAACCTAAATGTTGTAGGGACTGCCTGGAGTGTTCTCCTAGTAATGGAGAGAAGTGAATGGTTTCATCCTAGGAATGCCTCCTTGGGGCGGTGGGGGGGGGAAGGTGTATGCTGACATCCTACATTACCATGCCTAATAACTATGAGATTTGGTTAACAATGGCAACCAGGACTGCAGGGATTGTTGTCACTAAGTGATGCTGTTGCACGATATTGCTTGCTTACTGACAGAAATTCTGGTCCCAAATGCCATTGTAAGTTGAGGACTACCTGTAAAAATATTGATATAGTTACTAATATTTACTGGAAAAATCCTTCTTAGCTGAAACAAAATTGAAAAGGTGGGCACTACAAGCATCTCTTGGTTGAAAAATATATATTTTAATGAACCAAAAGCAAAACACTGAATTTTAGAATTCCCCATGAAATTGTTATAATATTTCCACTGTGTTTCATTCTTCTGTCAGAAAAAGTAACCACATTAAAACCAGCCAAGATTCAGGGAGCCAAGTGCATATCTGGTTTGTTTTTGTTTTGTTTAACAAAAGAGAAGCCTGCATTTTTCAGGCAAGCCTACAGGGGCCTGAATCGCAGCAAACAGCTGGTTATTTCAGCTCTATTCTTAACTAGTCCAACAGCTTCTTCCCAAGGGGGTAGCTAGAAATCCCAAGATCACTTATGAACCTAAGTTTCCTGCATACAATAGCAGCACAGAGGCTTTTGACTGTATAAATGAACAGGCTTGAGGGAGCTGGTATTACAAACTCTTAAGGGAAGTTTTCCTTTTACTGCTTTCAATCAACAGTTTTTTTATTTTAAAAAAAACTGCAGCTGTTAGCCAAGGATCTCACTATACTTTGCACATTCTGACTGAGAGCTTTTAGAAGTGGGAAGACATCTATAGTTGAGGTGAAAGGAGGAGGCAGGGAGGAAAGGAAGCTGGATCAATTTGTTGCTTTCTGTGTTAATACTTGGAGCTAGTGCAGCAACAGTAAATGCATGATTTAATTGCCATAATAATTTCTTCTTCACCCAACACTAAAATACTAGACTTACTTAAAGTGTGTAATGTCACATGCTATTCATAGATTAGTTGCTTTCTAATTAAGACACTGTGTTCCATCTTTTTGCTCCAATGGCCTCTAAAATCCAATCTTTACTTTCTGTCATATATTTATACTACCTAGGATCAGAATTTCTCTCATCTGAAAACTAAAACTAATTCAGGAACCTGAAAAGGAATTAACTATAATTTCTACGGGGTTTGCAAAATCACTTCTGAGTTTTCTGTGAAGTCAACACACAAAAGCAAACAAGTGAGCAAACAAACAAACAAACAAACAAAAAAAGGTGAACACCTGAAATTGTTGGTTGCTGGGAACTTTTCAGAATGAGAGCCTAAAATTTATATGCATTCAATTTTGCAAACAAAATTGGTAAGCACAATAAGACTGCTGCTCAAAATATCAAGATTGTGTCGGACTCTTCTGATCTGCATTAACATATATTTCAGCCCATAATAAGCATAACCTCGTAACACATTATTCACTGTGTTTTTCGTAAGGATATCTGCAGCATCATAATGATCCATGCTTTTTTCCCATTACTAACTACTAAAGATAGGAGGAACTACACTGCTGACATTTTGGATACCAGCTATATTGTAGAAGTAAATATAATACTTAAATCTTTGTCTTTGTCTGCTAAATTCAGAGCTGATGGAAGGTGAGAAAGAAAGAATGTCACTTAGGTATAAGATATATCCAAATCAACATGGAGTTGTTGTGGCACAGTGATTAGAATGCAATATCGTAGGCTAATTCTGCTCACTGCCAGCAGTTCGATTCTTACCGGCTCAAGGTTGACTCAGTAAAATAAGGACCCAGATAGTAGGGCAAAATGCTGACTCTGTAAACCACTTAGAGAGGGCCATAAAACACTTTGAAGCAGTCTATAAGTCTAAGTGCTATTGCTATTAAACCACTGTGAGTCCTACTAGACAGATGAACAAATTAACATCTAGAATATGTTCCTTAAAATGCATTTTCACCTCCTACTTGGAAATGTCATCCAGTCCATTGACCATGCAAAACAAATAGTCATGTTCTTGAATATGTATAGATTGATTGGCATGACACTCAATCATAGCATAAATAAAGGTAATGTGATCTCTGAACCTGAGCCACAAATTAAATTGCCATTATACTGAAGCACTTTAAGTTTAATTTTTTACCCATGATTTGTTTTAATCACTGAGATGTATAGTGTCTGAATCTGGATTATGATGGAGGGGAGCTAACCTATAATTAAGTCTTCTTTCTAGTTTAGGACATAGAAGATGACTAGTTGGGTTGGCACAAGTAGATGTATCTCTGCTGCTCTTTTTTTTTTTTTCAAAAGTTTGCAGGGGATTAAACTGACATACGAAGGCCCACACTTTGCCCATCTCAGGTGCGACAACCTTAACCCTATTAGGCCACTATGGGGTTTTATTAGTAATAGCAATAGCACTTAGACATATATGCCACTTCACAGTGCTTTATAATCCTCTCTAAGTGGTTTAGAGAGTCAGCATATTGCCCCCCATTAATCTGGGTCCTCATTTTACCAATCTTGGAAGGATGGAAGGCTGAGTCAACCTTGAGTCAGTGAGAATCAAACTACTGGCAGTCAGCACAATCAGCTCACAATACTGCATTCTGACCACTGCACCACCACTGCTTTATTAGAAACAAAAAAGTGGAAAAATTACTTTTGGAAGTATCACCTGGCTAGCCTTCACAAAATAATATCATATTGGTCAACAGGAATGATAAAATGGTGCCTGGCCAAGTTATATAACATTTGCTGGTATAGTGTCATTGAATAAGGCTTTGGACATAACAAACACAAACCTAGGTTTAGCAAAGAGTGTTAACCCATTGATCAAGTGTATTTTCTGTATCAACAAACAATCCAGTTGTAGGCATTCTTGTGATTATAGATTATTGCTAATCCTCACCAAATATATTTTAAGCATTGAATTTTGAATTTAACATTGATACAAATTTATATAATGTTGTTTGAACTTAATTGTGTACATTGATATATATGCATATAATGAGTTTTGGTTCACAATTTTAACCTCTATAAAAGATAGTCTTTTAAATGTGCTGTTATTGTTTATTGCTATCCATATTTATTTTATAGATTATTATTTTATAGATTATTATATGACAGCTATACTTTTGTTTAAAAATGTGATCATATATATATATATATATATATATATATATATATATATATATATATATATCATATATAACATTTTTAAAGAAATATCTATATCTATCTATCTATCTATCTATCTATCTATCTATCTATCTATGCATATTCTTTCTAGCCAGGTTTTACCTATGTAAGCTAAGATGTTCTGCAGCCTTAGTTCTGTGAAATCTCATTCACAAGTTTCTGGGCTTTTTGTATCTTGCTGACAAACAGCAACTCTGTGCTGCTCATTAGGATATATATATATATATATATTGCAGATAAAGAAATAATGGGAAAATCAGCAAAATATAAATTTGGTATAAAATAGTTTGCCGTGAATGCGACTGCTTGAGGACTCCTGGATTAGAGTTGAAAGGCGAAAGGGAAGCAGTATGCTCCCTCCCGTATTGGGGTAGACCAGGTACTTCGATAGAAAAACACTATATATATAATGCTTTGACTTTTTTATCAAGGGTTTTGCAGCTGAATCAGACTGTATAGATCACATATGTTATAGAAAATGCAGAGGTTCGTAGATAGGATCAGAAGAAACAGATTCTGGAACAAGTGTTGTTAACCTTACCAGGCAGACTAGGCAGGAAACATAATCAAATAAGCTTATTCTACTTTATTGTAAAGCTACATCAACAGAATCTTGCAAGTGTGGATATACAGTTCTCTTGCCATTACCTACATTTGAGCACTTGCTCTGCCAACTATGCAATTGAGGGCTTGTTTTCCCTTATCTGATCATCTCTTCACCCATCCCTTAAGGTAACCCCCATGTACCATTGCAAGTGTTTCTCAGTTTGATAATTATTTATAGTCTATCTAAAACATTTTCACTTTTATCACTATTGGCACAATACTCTAGTTTTTCTTGTTTGGGGCAATATCTTAGATTTGACAGTGTTACTTTAAGAATTAATTTATATTGACCTTATTAGCAGATTGGGTTACACTTAGCAACAGCAACTTTGATAGCTACCATTATTTAGCTCTTATTAAAGCATAATATTATTGTTCATTGCTGTGAAACTGTTGAGAGTTTCTCCCTTGAAGAGCTCTCTATCAGCAGATTGCACAACACATAAAACATTTGTTCTTAATCCTCTCCTCCCTAATTTAATGACTTCATTTTTTTCCCTCCTCACACAATAAAGTAGAATGGAGTAGAGAAATGGATGAAGCAATCACTCCTGTTGTAAGCATTTAATTAATAGGTGATTTTTCTGTGGAAGCCATTGTGGCTTTTGACCTCCACCTTCCTGGAAGGGCAATTTATTCATCTCAATATCTCACATGCAATAGGCCTCAGGGTCAACCCAATTAAAAGGATTAGGGAGAGGATATTGGAAAAAGAGTCACAGTCATAGTAGACTGTATTAGACTACATGAATTAATGTTCTCACTTAACACAAAACTAAGCACCAGCTAAACTATTACAT